ATGATTCAGCACAAATGTATTTTATTATACGTAAAAAATAAACTAAATGCAGTTACTCTTCTGCATTTTTAATAATAAATGTAGTAAATGCCAATGACTCTTATAAAAAATTTTAGACAATTAAATATCTATTTTGTATAAGGAAATGACTTTCCAATATCGTAAATTTACAGTTAAGTACAATAATATTACAGTTTTGTAAGTAATTAAAAAAAGGTATAGTGCATTTCCATAGAAATAAAAGATTAGTGAAATTATTAAATGATCATAGTATATGTGTAAATAAATATAACTATTATAGTGTAGATAAATATTATTAGTATATTATTTTAAACAAAATATTCCATTAATAAATTTATGTAAAAGAACATTCATTTGAATTTAAAAAAATATGTGACGCGCGAAAACTCTGCCTCTAATAACATCGTTACGTATCACTGTGACCGGGAAGAACAGCATCAGTGCCTAGATTTCTTAAACCGTAAGAGAAAACCAGTGTTAGTGTGTGTTTTTGTATTAGCAGAGAGAAGTCTGAAAGCTGATTGTTAAGATAAGGAAAAATCTTATATTTTTCAAGTACATTACTAAAATGGTTATTTGAGGTTATATTGTATTATAAAAGTTGTATAGGTTATATTGTACACACATCAAATTGTAGAACAAAGGGAACTGAGTAGCCGTTTATTATATAGAATGGATGACCTTGGTAATGATGTGTTTAGGTAATAACTTTGAAAAGTCTTCTTGCAATAACGGTTGGTTTAATACGATGACTTTGGTAGGAATTCCTCCTTGCCAAAGATTTCTTATCTCTTTACACACACTTTCCTTTTCCGCCAACACTATTCACAACACAAATCGTCCGAATAATTCAGTAATACAATGCAATGCTTTACAAAATTATAATACCTTTGAGGATTCACTTCCTTTTATACAAAGGTATACAAAGGTATACAAAGGTATACAAAGGTATACAAAGGGTCCGATTTCTAACCTCGCAGGGTTTACTCGCACGTTGCTATACGATTCAAGAGAACGTTTCTCGTTTCAACCTCAATATCGCAACGAATAAAGATATATATCTAAAGTGTATCGACCGCTTCCGAAACGTACGCACTCCGTTAATTACTTAATACTTGATAATCGGTTCGATCTAGCCACGGTCTCTCTCTCCTTCCGTAGCTCGCACGCGGTTTTTATATCCTCTCCTCGTGAACAGTTCTATTCAGCGACTGCGCATCTAAATTTGACGATGTATTGTCAGATGGCGTATGCTTCAATATTTCCATTTCTTACAAAATGTTCTGTTTGTTATTAGATAAGCAGTGAACAAGATAATAGTCTTGGACAATATGCAGTTGTTGGATTTACTGATGAGAACTCAAACTCGATGAAAATTATTGATTTGGTTCCTTCTTCCTGGATCTACGAAGTTGACCAGAAGGGATATTTTTGTTTGTATCCAGATTCAATTGATTATCATCATTTAGATAACTGGCTTCTTTCGTTGAAAAGCGCCGAAAACCATTGGAATTCGTATGCAATAACTATTATTGCATATGCAAGTAAACAATGATATTTAATAATAATCATTATTGTAACAGATATATTTTTACATACAGATATAGATGAGTTTGAGATGAGTGACTGGATATACGTATAAATACTATGAGAAAATGAGAAAGTACCTAGATACATGTATATTTAGATATTTTCTTATAGTATCTATATGTGTGTCGAGTTATTCATCTCAAAGGTGCATCTGTATTTCTATCTAAAAATGTATCTGTTACAATACTGATAATGATCTATTAGATATATCAATGAATTCTGTGCGTTCTTGACAAAATTTGATCTGTATTTAAAAATAAACAAAAAGAACTTTATCATTGAAATATTCCCCATTGGCATCGATAACTCTTTGCCATTTATCAGGTAGCGTGTTCCGTCGAAGTAGAAACTTGGCGTTTGCTGCTTGGAATCGGTTAACCTAAAGCACAGAATTCGTTGATACATCAAATATTATACTTACCTAATATTACTGCAAGTTTTCTCATTGATTTATCAGAAGATTTAAAACAAGGAAAAAGAAGGTTGAAGAGAGCACTGAAGTCGGACAACGTGAAAAGTACTGATGATGACGTGTGTAATATTAATGAAGAATCAGTAATGATATTGTGCAAAGATTCCCTGCAAAATCAGTTAAATGCAGTGAAGCCATTTTTAATCGTTGACGAATCTCCTTCGACAAGTTCTTCACGAGCTTTTATCAAAACAAAAACAAAGAAAAAACAAGGTACATTAATTTTTTAGTTTTAGAATTTTTTCTTTATATTGCGCTATACAGTACTATTTATATATTTTGTATTGCAATATACAGTATTATTTATATAGATTTTTATTATAGAGATATCATCAGCAGAAAATGTACTTCCTTCAACATCAATCGCAATGCTTCCAGTTATAAATGAAGAGACGACAGCCGAGATTTTGAACGTACAACCGAGTAAACATTAAAAATTCTATTACATATATTTCAATTTTGGGTTCAAATGATTAATTTAATATTCAATAATTGATGTATCAATTATTTTTTTAGTTTCAGTGGATGGGACAGATTATATCGACCAAAAATTTCAACAGCTCCAGAAAGAACTTACAAACCAAATTTTATCCGTCAAAAGAAGTATTTTGTACGATTTGGATAAGAAGATAAACGAAGTGAAACATACAATTATCATTAATCAATCAAATGCTAATTATCAACCAGAAAGAAGCATCGAAAAGTTAAAAGAAGCATTAACAATTGCTCTATCAACAATATCACTGGATCACTTTTTACAATTAGAAAATTTATTAATGGATTCTCCACAGAACAAAGAAGCATTGGTAAATAGATCGTAGTTCTATTTGCAAAAGTTTTTAAAATTTTTAAAATTTTCTTAATTTTATCAGATGGCTTTGTTCCGTGTACTTATTATTACACAATCCAATTTGAAAGAAAGCATTGCTAAAGTAATGAGTTCAATAATGACGAAGGCAGTAGAATTACAATATTCGGGAACAGGAAAAATAATTAATGGACAGTGCTAAAAAACTTTAGCAGTACTAATTCGTACATATGTTTAAGAGGTAAAATATATTTTTTTAACATCAATTTTTATATGACTTATACAATTTATGTATAAACACATTTGATTTCTAATTTTTTGTTATAGATATTTTAATAGAAAAATTCGGAAATAGTGTGGATTTAAACCCATACAGCACAGATGTTGCAGCAATATCTCTGCAACGTTGCAGCAATGTTGAAAGTTGAATCTATGTTGCTGCAATGTTGCTGCAACATAGATTCAACTTTCTGTGCTGTATGGGAAAGAAGTTGCCAGGTGAGGTGGGATTATGGTTATCACGAGCTAGAGACCGTGAAGGAGGCAGAAAAGAACGAAACAAAAATAATTAAAAATAAAACCTTAAAATTTATTTAAAATATTAAGTCAAAATTAAAGTTTAAAATTTGTTACCACTTTTCCATTTAATATATCCCCATACA